ATAATTTAAAATATTAATAATTAAGTGAAATTAATTAAATAATATTTAAATAATTGATAAAATTATTAGTTAAATACTTAGTTATTTCAAAATAATTAATTGGATTAAATATGATCTAAAATAAAATTAATTATTATAAAATATTATAAATAATAATTAAATACTTAATTAGTATTAATAAAGTTTTGTTATATATTTTTTAAAACTTTTCTTGTCGTGCTTTAATTATCCTAATAATGTATGTCAACTCTTTCAACCGCCTTAAATTCTAAATTGAATAGCCAAACAGTCACACAGGATTTAACTGGATTTATCATGAATGTTATCAAACAGTTTTCAGGATTTAACCCCCCAGGATTTCGTAAATCCGGATTTGTGTGATTTACGAAATCCTACTTAAATGAAATCCTAGATTCTACCAAACATCCCCTTAGCATTCTTTCGTCGTAAATCTTGGATTTACTAAATCCCGTAGTTCGGAGGATTTAAGGGATTACGGACTACACGATTTATGACTCGTGCGGTGTTCTTGCAGTGGAGAAAGATGGTTACCTTCACAGCGAGCTAGCTCCCGTCGTGACTTTCAATCCGACGTCGGAGGAGGAGGCGAAAAAGCTTCTTTAGCCACTCTTTCAACGCTCTAATTCTAGCAACGAAAATGGCGACGAGGCAAATTAACGGCAACCAAGAAATGGAGAACATTAAAAGCAAACCCTAGAGAGTCTTCATCTAAATTAGTAATAAAATTTAGCATAATTAATAATTATAGTATAATTAGCAAATTCTAAAATGACATCTAAAATATTAACAATTAATTAAATTAAATAAAAAATTACTAGTAAAATTAAGTAATCTTATTAAGCTTAATTAAATAATTAGTTGTATAATTTATAATTAAAAATGAATATAATTAGCTTAAGATTTTGAATTTGAAATGGAATAATTAATTATATAATTAACATTGTAAATAATAATTAATAATTAGTTAGAAATAGCATATTTAAGTGATTAATGAAATAATTAATAATATTAGTACTTATTAAAACTAATTAAACAAATTTAAATAAATAATAAAATCATTAGTAGAAGTACAAGTTCATAATTAGTTCTTTCAAAAAATAATTAACTAATTAATTTGGTGATTATCAATAAAATTATATATCAAATACTTCTTAAATTAACCTCTAAAAAGTAGTTTGATAATTAATACTATAATTAGTAATTAAATTATTTGATAACTAAGCAAGCTTCTAATTATATTATTTATCATTATAACTTATTGATGTTAATTAAAATTAAAATTAACTAGTAACTCATATTTAACACATAAATTAAATTTAGATTATATTAAATTTAATTTTAAATGAATCAATTATCTTAAATCATGGATTACATTGTCAAACAGTTTCATAGGATTTAACAAGATTTAACAACTATCTTGCCAATAAGTTTTTCAGGATTTAATGAACCCATGATCTACTAAAATTGGATTTATAGAATTTACTAAATTCTACAAAAGCCTTGTTGCCAAATAGCCCCTCAAAAAGAAAAGAGTTTGGATAGACAATAAAAGCCACCAATTGTTTTTTTTTTTTTCCTAGTAAAAGATTAGACATAAATTGAATAAAAGTACACTTGACTTTGATATTAAGACTTACTATTAAAATATTTGTTGGAAAAAAAAATGGATTACAAGATTATCTTCACATATATTGTCGCCTTCTGCCATGCACTGCATATACATTGCTTGGTTTCAGAATGTTATCTTTCAACATTTCCTCTCTTTCTTATGTAAAATTGTCACATGTCATATCTCTTTATAATTCTCGGCTGCTACCTCTTGTATGAGACTTCTTTTGGGACGGCTTTCTTACTACTTAAAGTAGTTTTTTAGTACAAAAATTATAATTTTTATACTAGAAAGCTGCTTTAAAAAGCCGTAAGAAAGCCATCCCAAACGAAGTCTAAGTCTTCTCCCAAGCATCTCTTCCTATGGTAGCTCTTAACCCTGACATTGCTCACTTGTTGGCACAATCACATGTCCACTACCACACACTGCTATGTGTTTGATTAACACTCATGTGCTCGTATGCCTCATAGCATGATAACACACATCACCACCTATCCACATGCCCAAACACCCATCATCCACTCTTCACTTGCACCAAAATATGATAATATGTTGTATCAAATTTAAATTATGGAGAAGAGATGGTAGGGTGAGATGTATTTTGAGTTATGATCAATTTTGATATTAAATAAGGCTTGCACCACATTTTACTTAGTCATTGAAATTCTTTGACTCGTTATTGAATAGTTGATCGTCGAGTCAAGCAGTACATCTATTTGTGAGAGAAGATAATTATCATTGGGTGAAATTAAATTCAAAATTTTGAGATCCACAAAATTTTCCCCTTTTTGTTAGGCTAGTTACCGTTATTATACTAAAAATATAATTTGTATATTATGATTCTCAAACAAAGTTGATATTTAGTAGTTTTTGAACTTCAATGAATAGATAATGCCAAAGTTGTTAAATATAACTTTTTTTTTCTTTATTAGCATTGCTGCCTTGTCAATATTAAGATGGTAGCATGTGATGTTTATGTTGATTCCAAATATTTTTGCAACTAAACAACTAAAAATCTTAGTATTTTATTTAATGGTATTCATAAGTTCTTTCTTATACTTTGGATCTAAGGATGCGCTAATATAGAGGGTATGACTTGGATTGACTTAAAATATGACAACTTCTTTTACGAATATTTTTTATATTTCCAAAATATAAAAAATATTCCCTCTAATACATTCTTTTTATTTTTTGAGGGTGGGCATTTGGCCACCCTGGCTTCAACGTGGATCCGCCAGTGTATGGGTGGAAACTCAAGCCACTTTTATAATAACTAGTTTTATTGCACTTGCATTAAATGTACGTGAATAAAATTTATAAATAAAAATTCATATTATAAATACTTTAATTATAGCATCATTATTAAGATGAAAAAAATTATTAAGATTATCAGTATACGTACGTAGTTATAATCATTAATGTTTACTTGCATATGAGAAAATATTTTTGAATAGGAAAAACATTATTGAGAAAACAACTTAAATAAAATTGAATTTACAATATTAATATAAAATATAATATTGGCAAAAAATAAAAAATAGCAATAAAATAGCAATAAAATAATCAATTATATAAATTACATTTTTGAATGTAGATAAATAGATCATAATATAGCTATGTAGAATATAAAATGATTAAAATGATTAATTTTCAAAGTAAATAAATTCATTAGAGAATAAGAGCAATATTAAATCATGATCTTATGTCTTAAATTCAATAAATTAGAAGCTTAAGAAGGAAAATACCGAGTAAAAAATATAAAGTAGATGAAATCAAAAATAAAATATATATTGACATATTTAAGTGAGAAAATTAAATTAAAAAATTACAAAAAAATAAATACAAAAATACAAATAATAATTAATGCAAATTCATGTATTACTACAAGTAGCAAAGAAATTGTTGAAGGATTAGACCATAAATAATTCACTAAATCTCTTCTTCACTGTGATATCGAAAGAAGGCAAATAAACTTTTTTAGTGACTCTTTCAAGAAACTTCTTTGAAGCATGTGAAATAGACTTAGACAAAGTTGTAGAAGAAGAAAACTGTCAAGTTCCCATCATGACTCATAAATATGTAATATGTAACAAATAAAGTGGTATGTATGTAAAAATCCCTAATTAATTAAGCATATGGTTTAAATGAATTTATTTGGCGCATGAGAGTAGAGCCGTCTTGAATTAATAACTTCTCAAATTGAATTTATTATTAATTAAGCAGCATATGATTTAAATAAATTTATTTGGCATATGAGAATAGAGCCGTCTTAAATTAATCACTTCCAAATAGAATTTATTACTAATTAAGCAGCACCATTAGTTGTATAGGAAGTGATAAATGATAGAATTTGAAGGGTCATATATGAACGTTGTAGATTAATTTAAATTTTATAGATGAACGGTCAAGATTTGCTATGAGTGGAATCCCAAGTCACTTTTATATAGTAGTATATAGATAGTAGAGATAGTATAGATATATGAAGTGCATGTTTATTTACTTCATATAGTGCTATATAAGTTTTCTGATAACTGTGAGTATAATTTAATTTAAAATAATGATTTAATATTCATTATTTTAAACTCACATGCACATTTGATAAATGAATTATTTTGATATTGGTAAAAAGTGACCTGATGAGCTGTGTAGCTCACTATTATTTTACCTTCTATTTTACAGGTCTGGGAGAGGGAAATGATAAGTTGAGCAGCATTGTCTGGGTTTAATCCGAGTTTGTAGCGGTATTTCTTTCTTTTAAATTTTTTTTATATAATCATGGCTAGTTAATTATGTTACTTTGTTCTATATCCCAGTTTGTACTCATGTACTGTAAGTCTGTAATTATAGATTTATTTTGATGATAAATGAAAAGGATTTTGTAAAAAAAAATTATTTTTAGTACACTAGATATTATTAATAGCTTTGTGATTATTGTTGTTGTTTTAAAATTAAAACTGGATGAAAATTCTAAAAAGTTTCAAAAGCTTAGATAATGGGATCCAATTATTACAAAATAATACGATAGAATAAGTCCAGTCTATGAGTCTTATTTAGTTGGGTTATGAGACTCGTAGAGCTTGAAGTTCCATTGACACCCCTTAAGAGTGGATGTAACATGATCAAAACTAGACTCATGTTGAGCTAAGATTTCATTGATCTCATTGTGGAATTTGATACTTGTTTTGCCACAGTTATCCATAATCGGAAGGCTCTGATACCCCTCATATGTTAGAATAGGGGCAGCGAAAAAAGGGCAAATTATTAGGTTTAGTACCGGACTTATTTCTAGTTCCGGACATCCACTAAAAATTTGCCACGTGGACTGCGCTTTGAGTAAAAAAAACCCAATCAAAAGCACAGGAAAAGCAAAGGTAAAGTGCAGGTATAGCGCAATCAAAAAAGCGCACCTAAAGCGCAGTCCACGTGGCAAGTTTTTATTAAATGTCCGGGCCTAAAAATAAGTCCGGTGACCGGACCTAATAATTTTCTCAAAGAAGAGGAGCAATAGAGAGGTTATATGAACTTTTTTCTTTGTAATTTCCAGCCAGCACTTCCTGCAGTTCGTTCTTCCAGCACTTCTTTGTCGTGTCACATAGAGAGATTATTAGGTGCGGAATGCGGATGGGGAGCACCGTCCGCACGAGCATTGCATTGGGTATCTAACGGTACCCGCACTCGGTACCGCTGGGTACCGTTGGATACTGCTACGTACCTAGTACTTGTGCGAACGGTGCGCACTCTGCACCTATTAATTTTTCATGAAAATAAGTCATACAAGGACTGAAAATTTTCTTATCTCATAATCTTTCTATCAAATACGGAGATTTATATAATGAGGTCGGAGCTTAAATGTCATAGTGCAATTTCTTTCATTTTAATAACCCAATTAGGTAGAGTACCCATATCCAATAATAACAAAGACTTATAACCCCAAATTCAAAGATGACGATAATAACAAACTTACATAAAGTTCTTCACAGAGCTTATTCGAACTGATACTGAAACTTCTAAATGACCAATCTGTTTCAGGCCAAGTCGTATATCCCTTCAATAAACTTTGCCAACGTGGTGTTAACCACCGTCGCTCCGCCGTCGATAACGAGGTTATGTCCGCTTATAAAGGCAGAGTCGTCGGAGGCCAAGAACAGCACTGCCGTCGCCACATCATCTGCCCTCAGCACCGCCCCTTTGAGTATCGCCCCCGTGCACAAAAGCTTCTCAACCTTTGCCACGTCCGCACCAGGCACTCCGCAGACCAGAGGCGTTGCCACCAAATACGGGGACACACAATTCACCCTCACTCCTTTCCCACCAAGCTCCGCCGCCGCCTCCTTCAAAAGCCCCAAAATCGCGTGCTTTGAGGTCATGTAGGCCACCGGCGCGAACCCGCCTTGTATTCCTGAGACGCTCGCATGGCAGATGATGGACCCCCGAGTCCCTGCCGCCACCATTGCCCGACCGGCGTGTTTGATCGCCAGCGCGGTGCCGCGGACGTGGACGGCGAGAGTGTGATCTAGGTCGGCGGGGTCGAGGTCGAGAACACCGGTAATGGGGCCGGCTATGCCGGCGTTACTGAACATGATGTCGAGGAGGCCGTAGGTGGTAATGGCGTGGTCAACGGCGGCTGCGAGGTGGAGTTCGTTGCGCACGTCGCAGTGGATGAAGGAGCAGCGGCCGTGAGGTGAGATTGAGGCGGCGACGAGGTGGCCGAGGGAATCGTTTATGTCAGCGATGATGACTGAGGCGCCGTGGGCAGCGAAGAGGCGGGTGGTGGTTTCGCCTATGCCGCTAGCTCCGCCTGTGATAATGGCTACTTTCCCCTCAAGCTTCGGCTTGTTAGACGCCATTAATTTGATATTTCTCTCCCTCTCTCTTGTTGTGGAATGGCGAGAGCTTTGTTGTTATATAGAGTTGCAGACAGCATGGGCTACCTACTCTGATAATTTGCCTGACTGTTGGCGGTAAAATTCCTATAATTACTTCATTACGGAGATGCAAATGGACAATTTTTTAACGAAGTCACGGTTTAAAATTAATTTAATAGAATAATTATTATATATATATAATTGTTGCCGACTCGTATATTCGCGATGGTAGAATGAGTAAATTTTTTATCCTAATAATGCACATATATTCAACACACAAATAAATAGTTGAAGAGATAGGAAAAATACTAGAAGTTTTTTATGTGAAAAATCAAAAAAAAAAAAAAAAGAAAAGGCATAAGGCATCACCCAAGTGAAAAGATTTCACTATATTTGAGTGAATTATAAAGGTTGACCCGTCCCTTGACTTAGAGGCGATGAAATTATAATTGTTTGGAGAGTCGGTCAGAATCCGTATAGATACTCAGAGTTTGTAATGACTGCAGTCGAGCAGAAGTCTGGCGGAGGTCAGCAGTTAGTCAGTGTTCCAAAAAAGGTCGGGTGAAAGTCCAACGGAGGTCAGGCGAAAGTCAAGCAGTAGAAGGTGTCCGGGTGGAAGTCCAGCTGCGGTTGATGGCTGGGTAGAAATCTGGTGACGGTTGGTGGCCGGGAGGTGGTCCGACATTGATCGGACAGAGATCCGGCGGCGGTCCCAGTCGATGGTCGAGTGGATGTCCGACGGCTAGGTGGAAGTCCAGTGGCGATAAGCGGCCCAGCGGTGGTTCGTCATGGTTGGGTGGATGTTCGGCCGAGGTTAGCAGCCTGGAGGAAGTCTGGCCACGGTCGGCGGCCAAATGGAAGTCTAGTGACGATAGATGGTCGGGCAGGGGTCCCATGATGGTTGGGCAGAGGTCTGGTCACAGTCGGTGGCCAGGTGGATGTCTAGCGGTAGTAGGAGTTTGTCTAAATTAGAGTTTGGACAGTCCTAAATTTAATTTGAAAGGTTTCCACTAGGATATGCCTCGAGATTCATGCACGATCAAAGCAATCCTAACATGACCTCCATGTGATTCATTATCTTTTTGATAAAAAGCTGAATGAGAGCTAGTCGTCCATTTAACAAAAGTCTTGCAACTTGTCTCCCCACCCGACCATTCTCATTTGCTTCATTCCATCTTTCACCTCCCTCACCGACCAGCGATGTCGATGTCGCTGATCCAAGACTTGAAGGAAATAACTTCCTTAAGTAGTTATTGTTCCCGCTTATCACCATTGTTGCGACATCCTAGAGTATTTGCGACGTTAGAGAAATATAAAGTTTAACATCTTAGCGTTATATGAAAATCCTTCATATAATCAGATAAGAGAGATGAGGTGTAGCATTTATAAGACACCAATATTTTTACGTAGAAAACCCCCGAAAAAGGGGGAAAAATCACGGGGTCTATTCCAGTTTGAATGAATCCACTAATATTGCAGATGATTACAAATGAGGCCCTTCATTAGTGGAAGGCCTTAACTTGATGTTCATTTTATGCAATACATTATATGATGGGAATACAAATAAATACTGTTGACGTGTTCATTTGGTCGGACGGACTGTAGTCAGTAGGAGACATAAGTCAGAAGACCGTAGTTGGTGGTCGACGGAGGTCGGAAGGACTGTAGTTGGTGGGCGACATAAGTTAGAAAGATCATAGTCGGCGGGCTACAGAGGTCGGAAAAACTGTAGTCGGTGGGAGACATAAGTTATAAGGACCGTAGTCGACCGACGGAGGTCGAAAGGATTGTAGTCGGTGGGCGGCGTAAGTCAGAAGGACAGTAGTCGGCGGGCAACTGGAGGTCGAAAGGACTATTGTCGGCGGACGATGGAGGTCAGAAGGACTGTGTTAGGTAGAAGTCCAACTATGGATAGGAATCCCATATTGAATAGTTATCCGGCGAAAACCCAACAAATGGCAGAAGTCTGGTGTTAGGTAGAAATCTGGCGACGAGTGGAGGTAATTCGGGTAGAATTCTGGCGTCACTTGGGCGTCGGGCATAACTCCGACATCACTTGGGGATCAGACAAAACTCCGGAGTAACTTGGAGATTAGATAGAATTCTGACGTCACTGGAAATTCATGCAGAATTTCGACGTTACCTGGAAGTCGGCAAAATTCCGGCGTCACTTGGAAGTCTGGTGAAACTCCGACGTCGTTCAAAAGTCAGGCAGAATTCTGGCGGCGATGGTCTATAAGGAGTTTCTTCCCTCCTAATCTTCTCTTCTTCCTTCTCTTCTTCTCTTCATCTCTTCTAGCTTGGGTCTCCCCTCAAGAGAAATGAGGGGCTATTTATAGTTTTTTTGTGGATGGCATGACCCGTAAATATGAGGAGGATCGAGGGCAAAGGTGGAGTGGTTCGTATGAACGACCGATATTGAATCTCTTTGATCGTGGACCGTTTGTCAGATATTTGATGGTCTTAATGAAATCGGAATTTAACGATCTTTGGCTCATTGGATTTGTCTCGTCGAGCCGCTCAATTTGATTATAAGCATGTTATGTTTGGAAACCATTTGATAATCCAAATTATGCTTTAAACCTTCCAAAAATGATTTGGGTCCTTGATTTGGACTCATTTGGGCTCGGATTGAGTTTAATTTGGTGTTGTGGGTTTGTATTTTCGAGACGAACAGTTCGACTATAAGTTTATTGAAATCACTATTTAGATGATCCTAGATTTAATTTTTGAAGTTTACTACTTATTTTTTGCCTCGAGATTCGTGCCCGACCAAGATAATTTTTTGATAACATATCAGTTGCCCCCTATTTTTGGATGTGGAAGCTCCAGAAGTCAAAAAATATATGTGTCAACATTTCACACTGGCCTAATCACAAAAAATTACATTCCGAAAATTAAAATCTTGCTCAAACTTAATCATAGAGGCCCTGTTGAGCTCTAAAAGTGCCAAAATTGAGCACGGAATGTCAAAAAACGTGTCTAGGGACCCCAAAATCGTTAGATTTTGATCGTCCGGATCGAAGATCGGGTCCGAACAAGCCTAGGGGACCAAACAGGCCGACTGGCCTTTGCTTACTGCCGGCGGCGGCATGCCTGCCATGAGTGAATAGTCGCGCCTGTTCAGGCGCGTGGTTACTTAAAATTTTTTATGGGGCCCACATGATTTTTTTATCCCAAAAAATTCTAAAAAATTTTAAAAAAAAATTGAAAAAATTTAGAAAATCGGGAAAGATTTATAAAATTATAGAAAATTATGAAATGTCCTTTTCTTCCCAAAAAGAATATAAATACCCCCTAGAAACAGGGGGAAACTTGCACCTTCTTCTTTTCTCATTCTGGCTTTCTTACAATGGAGGCATTCCACTATTTTTCATAGGTGACTTTCTCAAGTTAAATCGACGCCCCTCCTCTTATACAGAAGTTAGAATTTTCTCTTCTTTCTCTCATTTTTTCTCCCCCATTTTCTTCATACTTTAGAGGCTTTTCGCTATTTTTTGTATGTGATTATTCATATTTAAATCTAGTGCTCCTCTTGAGTATAGAAGGAAAACTTTTCTCCTTCCACTGTCTTCCCATTTGGCCATCTTTTTACAGTCAAGGCATTCCATTATTTTTTGTATGTGACTTTCCCCTACTATTGTACAAAAGTTAAACTTTTTGAAGCCATTTTTTTCTTTCTCTTCCACCATTCTAACTTTCTTTCAATTGAGGCATTCCCCTGTTTGTTGTTGGCAGCATCCCTTATCCGAGATTATATGTCAAAGCCTTTGCTCGATGACGTTAACATGTATAGAAGATGTCAAGAGAATCCACCAAGGAGATAAGACCTATCCAAGGTTGTATGTTAGAGCCTTATTCGATGATATTAACCTGTGTGGAAGAGGTTGATAGAATCCACCAAGGATGTAATACCTATCCGAGGTTGTATGTTAGAACCTTACTCAATGATGTTAACCTATATGGAAGAGGTCGAGAGAATCCACCAATGATGTAAGACCTATCCGAGATTGTATGTCAAAGCCTTGCTTGATGACGTTAACTTGTGTATAAGAGATCGAGAAAATCCACCAAGGATATAAGATTTATCCAAGGTTGAAGGTCAAAGCCTTGCTCATTGACGTTAACCTATATGGAAGAAGTCAAGAGAATCCACCAAGGATGTAAGACCTATCCGAGGTTGTATGTCAGAGCCTCTCCTCGATAACGTTAGCTTATGTGGAAGAGATCGATAGAATCCATAAAGAATGTGTGGCCTATCCGAGGTTGTATGTCAGAGCCTCTATTCGATGATGTTAATATGTGTGAAAGAGGCCGAATAAAATCCCCCTAGGATTGATTTTGTCTTGATTGGGAGGGGGCGGATGCCACGTATATCCCGAATCACAAGTGGAGAATGGTATATCTTTAGATCGTTATTGCCTATTTAAGGTCGAGATTAAGACATTGCCCAAGGAGTAGAAGTCTAGTAAGGGACTGTATGTGGCTTTCGAAAGCATCATTGCATTTGTCGAGAGTTTCCTTATATATCATCTTGGTTTTGAAAGTCTTTAAGGGATCTTCTTGACTAAAATTGTAGTCAAGATTGCCCCCCCAGTCCGGATCTAATTCCCATAAAATTGATGCATCAATAGCAGTTGAATAACCTTTTGAGGTTGGAGCTAAAATTGCCTCCCAGTTGGGAATCACGTTCCCACAGACGGCGCCAAACGTTGCATCATGGAGTATTCACGACGGTAGAGAAATATAAAGTTTAACATTTTAATGTTGTACAAAAATCAGACATGCTATTAGATAAGAAAGAATGGGTGTAGCATTTATGAGACACCAATATTTTTACGTGAAAAATCCCTAAAAAATGGGGAAAACCACGGGGCCTAGCCAGTTTGAATGAATCCACTGGTATTTCAGTTGATTACAAATGAGGCCCTTCCTTGGGGGAAGGCCTTAACTTGATGTAAATCAAATACATAACATTACACGATGGGAATACAAAGAGCTATTATTGACGTGTTCATTTGGTCTGACGGACTGTAGTCGGTGGGCAATGTAAGTCAGAAGGACCGTAGTCGGTGGGCA